CCAGTTACATGTTCATAAACACACGAAAGGAGTTATGAATATACTGTATGAGCTCGATCAAGTCTTTCCACGTTTTGTGGGATTTGAACGCCGATTCGTTGCGGCTTGCTGCATGTTGCGGCCCGTCTAAGTAGCCTGGCCATACAAAATACATTGTGTTGTATTTTAAATGGCGACGACTGAGTTCCGGATCCAGGGCTTGAATGGCAAGGTGAGAACGAAATGTCAGGAAACATGTGGACTGATGTATGAAAATATGCCATATTTAATTCTATCTTTGGCCAGTGTCCGTTTAAAACCAAATTATTGATATTCCAATGATATTTTCTGCCATCAAAAAAAAATGTGTGAACTGCACCGAGCGTTCGGTACGTATCGACAGGGCCGCACTTGCAGCTGCAACCACGGTGCTTGTTGTGATGTGAAAATCTAACGTTTCTCAGGTTGTCAGATTATTCATACTTGTATATCGCGATCGGGGACCAGAGTATACATATTATTATTAGCGGTGGTTGGTCATCAGGTTCTCTGAATATACCCGTGCCGCTGTCAATATCCCTCATATGTTTTCGTAAGTCAGTTCGTCGAGCAACAACAGTCAACACAACGCAACTATACTAACCACTAAACCAGTACCATATGATCGTAATATTTAGCTCTGCTGTGAAATTAGGATAATATTATAATCATTCTATTATCATATTCGTGCTGTTTGTTGTTGTCTACTTGTATATTTTGGTATGTATGTGACAAACAACATGACTGGTTAAAAAAACGGGTTATAAAATATATTCTGGAGTTATAAATGAAACTATATGCCAATGTTTTGATAATTTCAAATCTTGTTGCATAAACAGATTTTTTGTTATCAAGACAGTTTTTTTTATTCTACCTATGCACATAGTGGCGGGGCATTGTCAACGGGTCTGTGCATGTCCTGGACTTACATGCTCTTGGGGCGGGCATAACAGACAAGAACTAACACATCACAACATTTCTGTTATTCTATGTGTTTCTATGGTTGCAGAGAGGCGAATAAGCATGATTATTATTGTAAATTGTTTTATCATGATTTCACAGTATCGTGCAACGTGTTTGTATTTCAAGTTCAAGTGTGACATTTATTTATAAAAAAGTATACATAGTAATTGTTGAATGAATGAACAGAATTGAGTGTTCCCTCGTGTTCGTCTTTGGTTTCACCTGAAGGTTACCACTATTGACTAGGGTTTCAACAGGTGATATTAATTGCTTGGCGAGAAGCCAACCTTTTGTTGTGACTGTACATGGCCCTGTTGCTTGTTTAATAACTTGCTCCATAGAAAATGAATTCTTACATCAAATTAATAGGTTTCTACATGTATGTAGGTAATTACATATTTTTGTAAAATAACATTCATTGAATTGGCTATTCAATTAAATGGCAGCAACAAAATATGTTTTATTCAGATTGAATATGTAAACAAGTGCAATTATAATAATTATTGTAATCGTATTGATCATACTACATCTAAAGCCTGCTGCTCATAATCCTCAGAAGGGACTGTCACAATTACAATTGCCATGACTCGACGAGGAATGCTGACCGGTAATGCTACACACGAACAGGGCATTGGTATGATGTAGCATGTGATTTATTCGCCTTCTTCTGGTTGTAAATCCCACTTTCTGATTGGTGCACTCATGACGTGACTAACAATTCAGACCACCTTAAGCAACTCTACGTGACATAATAAAACTGAACATGCTCTGAAGTCCTTCATGATGCTTCGCATACCACACGCACAACATACAACTGTTACATCATAGACATAATGTGCAACTGGCTTAGGTCAGTAATATCAGCTTTATAATATTGCAAGTGTTAAACCAGTCAACTATTGAGATGTGTCAAATAATTATAATTTTAAAATTAAATCACATGAGCTAGAAATAATATCTGGAATTTAGTTACAAATTATACTTGGATGACGAAATCTTGGCTCATTTATGTTCTCTAGCACTGTTACCAAATTAATGACATAGCAATATGGAGTCTTCATCTCCATTATTAAATTCATTCAACCAATAGGAAATTACTTAATGTTGCTATAGCTTTTGAAATGATTGTTACATTGTTACATTTTTTTGTTACCTTTGCAATATTTCATTATATATATTATACATGTTTTATTTACATAATTTATTTACTTTAACACCATATTGTGTCCAGCTGTATTTTGAAATCACCTTAAGTTTGATATTTCCATCATATTTATATTCACGTCAAAGCAATATTATTGAGCTGCAATGTTGATGGACTTTAAAATACTGCATTGAACAATAGGGATTGGTTTAGTCACAGTATTTATGTAAATTAGTTTGTGGTTGAGTTTTCACTTGTTGTCAAGTCATCATCATACTCGGAACTTTGACAAACAATGATGTACCGTCATACAAAATCATTATTGAATGTGAGTGTGTTTTCTATTAACATTAGTCTGAGATGCACACTTGAATCAAGTTTTTTCCTGTGTAGTCATTAGATTGCACCATTTTGAATATTGTTTTACTCATGTTTTTTTTTTCGGTCAGCGCCTTGCTTAGGACTGCCGCTAACCATGTTGCATCACATCTTTTGCAATTGTGACAAAATCATGCATGGAAAGTATGATGTAGCATGTGATATATCTTTCTTCCAGTTTTAAATCCAACTCTCAGGTTGGTGCACTTTCATGATGGGGTGTGACTTACTGGCTGGTGCAGCCCACCTGAGGAAACACAAAGTGACCCTATAAAACAAAAATGCTGTCACGTAGCAGGCGTAGACCACCCTCTACGACCTGACAGTCGCGTAAAACAGGATACTTGAAATGGCAAAGCTTGGTATGAATGAAACAATCACAATGGAGACATGTACTATTTTGATTCCCGAGTTTGTCATTTACAGTAGTCCAAGATTCACAGACTGCCTATTCTTGGGCTAGGGTACCGGTTACAATAAATTGTTTGAAAATTTTCCTAAATATTCGATTTACAAAGAGTTAATAATAATAACATTGTTTTCTAAATTAAGGTAATAATGACATTAATTTATTTGTGCTCACTTTATTGTTGCTCCCATGTACCACTGAAACCTGGACTACCAAACATTACCATAGCACTATCAACTCAACCCAAATTATCAGCTCAGCTGGAAATGTTTAATTCCTGTCATACAATTTTACATTTTTCATTTTACAACCTAAAAATGAAAGGTCAAAATTTGTGTTTAAATAAAAAACAATTATTTCCACCATACCACACCTTTTATTTATAATTTTCAATGTTGTGTCGCATATTTAAATACAATGCATGATTTATGGTCACCAGTCATTTCCTATTCGACTAAATCACCAATTTATAAATACAGACATTTATCATATAAGCAACTGTGATATTCACGGTGTCCTGTTGTTCTAGCTGCTGTACTATTCTCTGGTATTCAATTCACACCACACAATATCTTTTGATACAAGTGTTATTTTTTGACTCCAGAGATAACATTATTTTCCAGCAACCAGTGTTTAGCATTTTGCAGTAATGTCTGTGATCATCGGTTTGTCAACACTGACAATGATACTGATGTTTTGATATTTTACCCATTTATTCAAGAACCAACTCAAATAATCTCTGACATGATGTCTTGTTTACTTTAGAACGTACACTCCATTCCCTAATGTGGATTTTCTCGTTTTGTGCACATTTAAAATTGTTTGCAAATTTAACATTGCTCAGTACTAGTAAATCAGAAATTGTTCAACATTCTCTAGTTTTAGAAATAATTTGCGTCATTAATTAATTATCAAATATTTGCATGTTTCACAACAAAAATGAGTACACACTTTGTTCTACTACTTTTCATTCTATTTTTCAGTTCGTTTTGTAATTTTCTGATACAGTTGTACTTATGATAAAGAGATCATTTGTGGGTAACATGTGGCATTGCTCAAAGCAATATTGATAATTTTTCTCACTACACACTCGAAAAATATAAATACTGCTTTTCACAATACTATATTATTATCTCCAGTTATACCCACGAATAACCTCTGAATATGCGTGTGAATAATTTCTAGTAGCTTACGTGCACATCATTTCTATGTACATTTTAAGTGTTTGCCAACTCTTTAGCTGACACCTGTTGTCTAAAACAGATGTCCATAATATTCAGCAGGAAAGCTATACTGTAGTGATGTTATTGAAAAGTATAGTAAACAGTGTTACTCTGCACAGTAAATGAAATAAAGTAAACATCTTAGAATGGATACATTTTATTTGAATATACTTAACCCTGGAAAACAGATGAATTTATCTCATAGGTAAAATAATGTCATTCTGACTGGTATGTAACGTTGACTAACAGTGACTAAAATGAAAAAAAAATTTACAGTTGTGCCATCAGTGTATGTGAAGAAAGATTCACCAACTGGTAGTTGTTGTTAATATAAAGCAGATTTTTCAATTTTTGCAATGCAAATATGCACATACAAACAATCAATGTTAAATATTGATTCACAACATTTCCAATTATAAAACTTCACTCCTAGCAAACATATTAATAATAAAAAATAGATTATTTGAATCCTATTTTAGTGAACCCTGCTGTTGCTTTTGGTCTCGACCTAATTTGTTGTCAAACTTGACAGTGGTCCTAATAAGCTTCACTCATAAGCTTACGCTACTCTGTCTCATTTCTGTTTTCATAATACGGATTTACTAAAGTTTGTCACGCATGTGTCGAGCCAAACACCATGTGCATTGCAGGACATTGATACAGAACAATACACGATAATAGTAAACTTCAGGTTAAAAAGGTTAATTGTTGTTTGATTAGTAATTCAAATAAGATCATTGTGCACTACTAGTGACCTACTCTGCCATCTGGAAGGGTCACATGTACATGTACTTACACCTCAATCATGCCTGAAACATGTTGAGACGCATTATCATAATCGGCTCAACAGATTTCAGTTAGGCAGCTGACAGTCATCAGTGATACTACCCTGACTCTTGACTGCTGTATTCACCCTCTCTCTCTGTACACTGATTCTTTCAACATACAGCATGATATTCAGGCATAATAACAAGGTAGGGGATATTCAGTTGACCTAAGTTGTGACAACCTAATTTGTGATGTACGGGTCAATACACTGCCGGCTAGGGAAACAGTTTGTTGTTCTGATGTGTGGCTACTGTAGAGTGCTACTATTTTGTTGACATTGATTGAGCTATGCTAAAACAGATTTGAAAACAGTTATACCCTGTAGCAATATAAGGTGGCACATAGAAATATACGTAAGCCCAACCATGACCCTATTTTGAGTTTCATTGATGATTACAAATGACCTGTGAAGTGTTTACAAATATTCATGTAGTCAGTCCTCAGGAAATGTTGGCACGCTGTCAATGGAAACAGATGTGTTGCATAACCTTACATCTGAAACAAATATTGATTGTAGAATTTTGTTCATGGCCCTTAAACTGGCACCTACCAGTACAGGGTATCAGTTTCAATTGCCTGCCATCCTTGTATTCCACCCTTTTTTACAAACATTGTCCACCACCATTTTGACAGGAACCGGCATTCAGGTTTAATGATTCTTGATTTTAACTGTGATCTGCTTGAATTTGCAGAATTTAGATTTACATTTTGCAAGGACCTTCACAAAAACAAATTAACAAAGTTAAAAGTTTAACTTCACCTGTGATTTTTAGGCTAGAAAGTAGGAATTTGTTCACCTATCTGCTCAGGGCAGGTTAATCTGCTTGCTTCAGACAACTGCAATTATATTCTTGTTGATGTTTCTGCAATTTATCATAGTGTTATTTCACATCTGTCTGCAAACACTTCAGATTTCAACATTGTATTTTACACATAGAGCCATCAAAGGCGATTGCTTTAGCTCCTATATGCCATGTTTTATAAATTTTGACATGGAAAATAGGTGCCTTCTCAATCCAACAATTTTTCTTTTATCAATCTGTCTTGGGTGAATTATTGCAATGGTACATAAATAAAATTGTTGAAGAATAATATAAATTTATTTCTGCTTCTTTCTCTAGGAATTCTCCTCAACATCTGGAACTAAGTTTTATGATTCTGACCTGCATAACTATAAAAATGATGACACGCATATCATGGTTAACAGTAATACCTATCCGTCTGACAGCAAGGACTATACACATATGAATAGAGAGGTAATTAATAATTCTCATTGTTGCACTTCGTTTTGTGTACCAACAAGTGTATGAATGAATTGTTAGTACAGTATCAATAAACACTTGGCCAAAGTAATTAAATTTTTGAACTCAGCATGACTCCGTTCAAAACAAGCATGTTTCTTGTAATCTGTTTAGTTTAACTGTAGAACAGCTGACAAACTTAATTTTATTTTATTTTTGTAGATCACACTCTATTCAGACAATGTGTTGCCTACTACTGATGATCACCTTCTACAAACTCTGAATTACAAACATCATAATACTGCATCTGACTACTACACACCTTGGTCCACAACAGTCGATAGTAATCAACAAAATCTTGCACCCAGTAAAGTGTTTTCAGTAGATGACGATATTCATATACAGTATTCGGATAGATCCCATCACAGTGATAATCCGTTAGATAGATCTGGTGCCCTAGATGATTTGGTAAATAAAATAGTTGATGAAGATAGTTTTGATAAATATGATGATGAAGATCCATACACTCCAGACTCAGCATTTTTTGAAAGGTATGTTAAAGCTTGCATCATATTAACTGGTGCTTTATTCTATGCTTGCACCAGTTTTTATTTAAAGGAAAACAACTAATAATTATTTTACTTTTTCAGC